GATGGTGTATGTGGTGAGTTCTCAGAAGGCAGTGTGTGATGGATGGTGTACGTGGTGAGTTCTCATAAGGCTGTGTGTGTGTGATGGTGTACGTGGTGAGTTCTCAGAAGGCCGTGTGTGTGTGATGGTGTATGTGGTGAGTTCTCAGAAGGCCGTGTGTGATGGTGTACATGGTGAATTCTCATAGGTGGTGTGCAATGGTGTGTGTGGTGAGTTTTCAAGACAGATTTTTTTTAACAATGTGTGTTGCTTATAATAGTAACTAGCCACTTTCTGCAGCAGGTTAAGTTACTTTTACCTCTGGACCAGTAACGTGACCCCAATAATTCAGACGTTTATGTCCCACAAAGCTTTGTGATTGAGTTTATAGTTCATAACCATAGTTGTGAACTCTTCTCCCGTAGGCCGAGTGTCAGCATGTCCATAGCTCTTAGTGAGCAGGACTTTTTATGTAGACAGGCTAGGCTGCTGATAGGAATTGCATTTCCAATAGAAGAAAGATTTCCTGAGGCCCCTTATTATCCCATGTTTCTTATAACGTGGGAAACACATCACTGAGACTGGTGAAGAGGGAGAAGACACACAAAAATAAGGATTTGTCTATGCAAGAAACTTAACTATGGTTAGTCTTGGCTCTGATCTAATAGTGTGAGCCAGGTGCTGATGGCCTCTAGATAGTCAGGAAACAGCCCACACCTGCACGGGATCTCAGCGTATGCCTGCTGATGATCAGACGTTGCCTGATGTCTTAAGAAATACCATGCTTAAGACTCTACATCATCCCATGACCATTTTCCCTTCACTGAATAGTCATTCATCACAGGTGTGATGCAGTAAAAAGATAGTAAGAAGGTAGGAGAATTGTTGCATTTCCATAAGACATTCTATGTTTTATTTTGTATCAGGACCCTGTTGACCTGGGATGGGAGCCTTATGTTCAGACATGGCTTTTGAAAACTGCTAATATTATGAGTCAATCAGGAGTGAACTGTCTTGAATTATTGATTAAAAAAAGTGTCCCAGAGGGTCTGCGATTTATAAAGAAATTTCAGAAATTCCAGCCCTTCCCTGTGCACAGCATAACAGCCGTTACAACCCTGTGCAGAATTCTTGATTCTTTCTTTGAATTCATGAATACAAAAGGAGGCTTTGGACAAGGTGAGTTTTTATTCTCCTAATTCTAATAATGACATTATGTGTTATCTAGTCTGTGACACTTTATCAATTCATGATAGATTTTATAAAAGACAATAAAACAAGAGGCCAAGAATTTTCAGCCTATTTGAACCAATGGCAGACCTGTGCATTAAAAAAACTAATCACTTATAGAAAAAGAGGACTTTAAGTGGAGGAAGAACATGGTGAAGTGAGAACTGCTGTTTAAACTGACTGCTCCAGTAATGGTGTGGAAAGTGCATCTGAGTGGAAGAAACTGGAAATGAGGCAGGCTGGACAGTCAGTGATGAGGAATCCTGAGCTAGTCTGGTGGTATGAGTGTAAGCAGACTTATTTGCAATTATAAGACAGCCTAAATTTGAACAATGGGGGAAGAGGTTGGTAAATTACAGTGTAGCAAAAGTATGTTGTGAAGGATTTTAGCAGCTTAAAATTGAAGAGCTAGATAAGAATACAAGTTTTTTAAATGTGTTTAAGTTTAAAATTTAAAATGTGTGTGTAACTTATAAGCCATTATATAAGAAGTACATTAACATTTTTATGGCTGCCATCTGGGAGTGATAAAGTTATGTGCATTTTCTCCCGTGGGATTTTCTGTGTTTTCTAAGGTAAATTTTATTTCAGTATTTTAAAAATAGCAGGAAAAATAAGGTAAGAAGGGTGAGTAATGGCTCCCTGCCTGGGAGGAAGTGGTGGGGATGTGGAGCTCAGAGAAGGGGCAGCACTGGAGGCTCAGCCTCCTTCACTAACCAGCTGTTGCTAATTGTGCAAAATCTTCTTCTTTTTAAGATGATAAGAATTACAAGAATGACACTGCAGCTGAGGAGCCAAAAGCTCCCACAATCAAGTTCAAGGATGAGAGGAGGTCAGTCACACTCTGGTGGTGCCCGCACTCAGAAGCACGCAGGACTAGTGGCCGAGAAGCCATGCTAGGCTTTGCCATAATGTGAAAACCCACCTGAGTGCACTTCATTCCAACTCAGAGAACAAAGCACAATTTGCATACTGTTTGAAAATAATGCGCCTTTTATGACCAATTGTCCATCCTCTGTATGTATTTGAGAAAGTTATAAAATTGAGATGAATCTCTTTATGAAGCTGCCATTTATAAGATGTAAAAGGTTGAAGCAGTGATGCATCTTTTCATTTTTGTCTCACTCATAAAGCCAGAGTCCTGTGAGTCCCCTGGCTGCAGTGCGTGGCGTCAGCCAGGGGCTCCTTGAAGCCAGGTTGTTATGTCACTTCTCTGTCCTCTCCTTTCCCTCCCCTCCCCTCCCCTCCCCTTCCTCTCCCCTTCCCCTCTCCGTTCTTTTTCATTTTTGTCTGAGATGAGCTCAAGCTGAGCTCCGTACCTGACACTTTTGTTCATTGGCTAGTGACTCTACCAGCTGAGCCATGTCTCCAGCCTCCCCTCCCTCCTCTCTCCCCACTTCCCCTCCTGGTCTCCCCTTCCTTCCTAGAGTAGTGTCCTCTGAATGGACTCTGTCCTCTCCAGGCCCTGTGAGTTTTCAGGCCTGGAGACGACTTGGTTTTTTTGCAAGGCTGACTCTTGTCATCCAAGCCTGAGCCCCTATTGGGCTCATCCTTTACCAGGGGACCCTAAAAATTCCCACTATTGCCTTCTGTTCATCTCTGCCCCATCCCAGGGTGTGGCAGAGCAATTGTTCTGTCTTCTCATAGGTACCCTCTAACATCTTTTTTTTTTTAGTTAAAAAGAAATTGTTATTATAAAGGTGATGTATAGAGGAGTTACTATTTTGTAAATCTGGTAATGAGTACTTCTATCCCACCTGCCCCCCTCCTCTATCTCTCTTCTCCTCCCTCCCCCCTTTATTGGTGCTGGGCCTAGAGCTTGAACTCTGGGCCTGGGTGCTGTCCCTGAATTTCTTTTGCTCAAGGCTAGGGCTCTACCACTTGAGCCACAGCACTACTTCCAGGTTTTTCTGGGCTAGTAGTTTGTTGGAGATAAGAGTCTCATGGCCTTTCCTGCCAGAGCTGGCTCTGAACCGTGATCCTCAGATCTCAGCCTCCTAAGTAGCTGGGATTATAGGCGTGAGCCATCCACACCCAGCATGAGTACTTTTTTTTTTTTTTTTTTTGGACAACGTCACCTCTTCCTTTGCTTTCTCCAGTTTTCCTTCCTAGTCCTGCCCACAAGTTGTATAATTCCTGTTCAACAGAGTGTAATCTAGTAAGTACACTGTCCCTGAGCTCTTTTCACTCAAGGCTAGCCACAGCACCACTTCTGGTTTTCTGGTGGTTAATTGGAGACAAGCCTCGTGGACTTTCCTGACTAGGCTGGCTTGTCTCTCAGCCTCCTGAGTAGCTAGGATTACAGGCGTGAGCCACCAGTGCCTGGCCCTAAAATTTTTGTATCAGCATTTAATTGTAGTATTTAAGGATGAAACTGGCAGAACATTAAGGTAAACTTATTTGTTCTTTTCTAAAATTTTTACCCTTCACCTTCCAGAAGCAGCTATTCCACGGATGAAAGTGCATGGTTTCTGGAGAAAAATCCAGATAAATTAGCAATAATGCTCCAAAAGCTTTTTGTATTTGCATTTACCTGGGCCTTTGGAGGAACTTTAAAACGTGAAGATGAGCATGAACACGATGTAATATTTCATTCAACATTTGGAAACAATTCACTTGCAGAAGTAACCTATAATTTTGATAGCCTTGTTCGTGAAATATTTGAACACGATTCACATAGAGGTATGTTCTGGGAGAAAAAAATCATTATTGTGCTTATTTAGAATATTAATTAGAAACTGTGATGGGCTCTGATTGATTAATGTGTGAAAATAAAAGGTAAAAACAAAGTTATTAATAAGTATAGCATTACCCTCACTCCACTCAAATCAAAAACTTGCCAACCGCAGCCCAACCACGGTGAAACAGAAACTTCTAGAGGTGAAGAATAGTAGATTGTTAAATTTTTTTAATTCCAGTTCTTTTATAAAGCCTGGGATTTACTCTGTATTTGTTTTGAGGTCAATTGCAACAAATGGAATCCACCTTATACTTTAAAATGGCAGCCTCCCCATCAACTATTGCTGATTGAAAGAGCTATAAACATATAGATTGTTGGAGCTGAAATCAAACAGATAAAATATGAATCTACTTATAAGAGTTTTGTTAACTAGGATGAGTACTAAAACATGACACTGAAACTGCACGTCCTGCCCACCCTCCTCCCGATGCTCGCTTTGGAACCAGGGCCTTTTCTGTGAGAGCACTGCACCCCTAGCCCTTTGATGTCAGAATTTCCTACTAAAAACAGTATTACTTTTACAATGGAAAGTAGCTGAGTGACAAATAAGTGGCATATTGGGTTGGCCACAGTCAGCACATTATGAGCATTTGCTAGCTTCCAGGCACAGGGTGGTAGGCAGGGCTTTGCAATAAGATTTCTAAGGACATCAGACAATAATTTTACCTTTTCTGTGTATAGAAAGAACAAAAAGCTAATGTAAGTTTGCTTTTGTACCACTCAATATTAGGGGACACACAGGCCTATTTATAAACCTTTGCTTCAAAATATATACCCTCTACTTCAAAAACTACCTTTTGAGTAGAGTTCATATTGCTGGTGAGCACTCCTGAGTTGAGCCCTAATCTTACTTGGATTTTCTTACTCATCATTTTCAGAGTTAGGTATCAATCTACCAATTGGTGACCGGTCTATCTTTGGATATTTTGTCGATATACAGCAATGTGAATTTGTACCTTGGTCAGAGTTAGTTCCTAGTGTTCATACACTAATTCATAAAGGTAAGAATATTTTAAAAATCATATTTGGAACTGTTCTGAAATTCTGAGAGTGCTATATAAAAAGTAGCTATATTAGCCGGGTGCCGATCGCTCACGCCTGTAATCCTAGCTACTCAGGAGGCTGAGATCTGAGTTCAAAGTTCAAAGCCATCCAGTGCAGGAAAGTCTGTGAAACTCTTATCTCCAATAAACCACTGGAAAACCAGAAGTGTCACTGTGCTCAAGTGGTAGAGCACTCGCCTTGAGCTGAAAAGCTGAGGAACAGCACCCAGGCCCAGAGTTCAAGCCCCACGACCGACCAAAAAAAAAAAAAAAAGTAAGTAGTTATGTCTCCATCTTTGAGAACTAATAGATTCAGATTGTATACAGATGGTTTCTAATTTATGTTTATTAAATATGCCTTATTAATCTTTGAATATTGCTTTTTGAGAAATTTGGAGTATATTTTTTTGTTTGTTTGTTTGTTTTGGGGTCCAGTCATGGGACCTGAACTCTGGGCCTGGGCGCTGTCCCTCAGCTCTTCAGCTCAGGGCTGGCATTCTACCACTTGAGCCACAGCGCCACTTCCTGCTTTTTGCTTATATGGTGCTGAGGAATCGAACCCAGGGCCTCATGCATGCAAGGCAAGCGCTCTACCACTGAGCCACCTTCCCAGCCTGGGTGGAGTATATTTGTTTAGAGGCACATTGTAAAATTATAATGCATTAAAACTCTTATTAGTGGTAGTATTTATTCTTTTAATTTGCTGTGACTACATGAAAGGAGAAAATGGCAAAGACCACTTCTGAAATAGGAAAAACATGTATGAAAGATCTTCTGCTTGGTTATAAAGAAAGCCAATAGTTTACAAAAGAGTAGTCATACTTTTACTACTTATGACATAGACATCCATCCACAGTAACTCTCTCAATTTTCTCCTGTCACAGGAGACACAGGAATGAGCCACACTTCAGGAGCTGGGTAGAAGTTTAAAGCTCTTTTTAGAGTCCTTGGCTTATGGTTTTTCCAACTTTCCATGACTATGAAAACAGTTGCCATTCAATCGAACCCATATGTTGAATTCTGAATTTGGATCTTTTCCCAGTCTAGCAATAAGCCACAGGGCTCTCTCCTGTGCAGCAAACCAAAGCTGTGGGTCAGCCGAGCCTGGGGGCCAGGCCATGGCCCCCACCACTCAGCGTAGCGTTCCGAGGCAGGATGCTCAGAAGGCTAGATTAGGAAGTACACTTTTTAATCCCCTATTTTCAACTTACTGTAGGTTTACTGGAATGTAACCCATCACCTGTGTGTAAGAGCATGTGCGTAAGACATTTAATAAATGACAGTTGAATTGCTTTGAGGTCACATTTCTCTCACCAAAAAACTTCAAAGTTTGGTTGCAGGAAGTTTTGAGAGAAAAAAACCACGACTATCACAATTATACAACTCTCAGAAAGATCTAATTCTACATTTATGTTGGCTGGAAACACCAAGATTATATTGTACAATATTTTACCATCCAGTACATATTAGCAGACTTAGTTATTTAAAACACCTACATTGTTTTTCATGTTAGAGCTATTATTGATTTTGGGAGTGTTGTGCTTTTTTTGGTTTAGTTTGCTTTTTTTCCCAGTCCTGGGGCTTAAACTCGGCCGGTGCTGTCCCTTAGCTTTTTGCTCAAGGCTAGCACTCTACCACTTGAGCCATAGCTCCACTTATGGCTCTTTTGGTGATTAATTGCAGATAAGAGTCTCATAGACCTTTTTGTCTGGTTGTGAACACAATCCTCAGATCTCAGCCTCCTAAGTAGGTAGGATTACAGTCATGAGCCACCAATGCCTAGCTTATTGGTCATTTTTATCCTTAGATTTTTGCTGTTATTGAGAAAAGGTATAACTAATATCATTTATTCATAACTCCAATATCCAATAAATGATAGTTATTTATGAATAAAATATATCTTCCTCTTTGGGAAACCAGTGTTATTTTCTCCAGCTCTATTCTAAGACATTGCTTCCTTCTGGTTGCAACTTTCTGCATGCAAACATGTTTCCAAGCTGAATCTGTAACCGAATTTTTCACAAAATCCTTTTTCCAGGGAAAACCAGTTTACATATGAAGCATTGTAGGATTGTTCAGCAACCACCCGTAGTGACTGAGGCTTTTCCTCATAGAATTTGTATTTTAAAAGAATAATCCTAATTGTTTGTTATCAGGAGATGCAGGACACATTAACCATTCAGTTTCTAACGTACATACCTTTTTATTTTTGTGGGAATATTAAAAAAGATCAATGATAAATGGTTCATTCTTCCATAGAAAAGTGGGAAGATGATGATCCTTTTAAATAACTTTAAAGAGAGGAGGGTATATATGTTCTCCTCTTTGCCCTTTTTGCTCCTGGTTGCAGATATGTAATAGAAAAAAGGTTCCCACGGAGGACCTGAATGGGAAAGTTCAAGGATAGCAGGGCGAAAAGATAAAGCTGGGCAGACTCCCAACCCTAAGCAGCTGACACAGCTTTACAGAAGAATGAGTTCACGGTGTGAAAGGCATTCTTCTTTTTTGTTTAAGTTTTTGTTATCTCTAGGTAGTTGTACTGAGGGATTGCCACTTAACAAAGCAGTTTGTGACTACGATGCATTCTGACCCAGGTCACCCCTTTCCACATACACTGCTCTGACATGGGGAGCGGTTGTGGCAAACAGGAAAAATAGGCATAGTTCCTTTTTTTTCCTTTTTTGGCTGGTTCTGAGGCTCGAACTCAGGACCTGGGCTCTCCCTCTGAGCTAACACTGCCCCTGAGCTACAGCCCTACTTCCCTGCTTTGGTGGTTAATTGGAGATGAAGAGTCTCCCAGACTTTTCCACCCTGACTGTCTTCAACCGCAACCTCAGATCTCAGCCTCCTGAGTAACTAGGATTACAGGTGTGGGCCACCAGGGCCCAGCTAAAAATAGGATTTTTATCACCCTAAATACACCTTTTAGTAGTTGGACATGAAGTGATGACATTAAAAGAGTCCTGACGTAGCTGACCCTGCTGGCAGAGGCTTGGTGAGGAGACGCTTGCGACACTGGGGTGGCCTGGTGCACACTCAGCAGCCTGTTGCCTGTGGCACCTTGGCGGAGAATAAGCACATGGGAACTGACTGCTTCAGGCACCTGTACTGATGTCCAGTAAGAGAGAAGTGGATTTAGATAAATGCACGCGAGCTGCAGGAGAGGATGGGGAGAGCAGGGCCTTGTGGGGCCACCGCCCAACGGCGCAGGGCCTGGGCCGTACTTCGGGAAACAGCGCTGCTTCTGCCCCCAAACCTCAGAGGTTGCAGCGTGGACCTTGCATTTCTCAGGGGCCTTGTGTCCAATGCTTTCTGCTAGGTGGGTGCCTCTCCACAATAAGGGTTGGTCCCTCCACGAGGGCCTGTGGCTGCCTTCATTAACTTGGGGGGAGGATAAGCAAATGGGGTGAGTACAGAAAGCAAAGAGTGAGGGCAAACCCAGTGCTTGCTCTACCCCTGAGCCATACCCTGAGACCCAGAACAACAGGTAAAACCTTTTAGCATCCTTGCCTGGTTATAGCACTGACTGAAAGGGAAAAGATGGGCTAGCCCTCTGTCCAGAGGATTGCAGAATTCTCTTTCCACTCTCACGGTAGAGAGGGGACTGGAGGAAAGCATGAGATGAGCCACACACCTTATTTAGGCTTCCCATCCCACTTGAGACGTTTAAATATGAATTTCATCATACTACAATGCAACCCAGCGAGATTACTGAAGAAATTAAACAAACTGGTCAAGTTAAGACTCAGGTTTGCTGTTTGAGGGCCAAGAAAAAGAAAGCCAGAGCTGCCTCCCTCTGCC